CTTCACACACATTATATTTCCCGTGTCCGTTAATTTACAATTTACTACTAAAGCACCATAAAATACTAATCAGCCGTGAACATTGCGTACTCACTTGCGCGTGTCTCCGGCGTGTATCGGGTATGCTCCTGCGGTGAATATCCACGGGGATCACCACGATCAATGAATTGGACCAGATGCGTCGGCCAATCGATAAACCGCCTGCGGCTTGGCTGCGCGTGTTTCAAAGTGCGGATCGCGCGCGATCCGAATCGATCGTGAGAGAATCGCAGCCTCGCTATACGTTTTACCGCTTCACATTTACTACACCGCGGGGGATCAGCACATACTGGCTGACCGTCGGTCTGCCCGCGAAGGAAGCCTTCTCTCTCTCTCGAGGTTTCCACCGAACTCGCGTTTCCCCCCCCACGAATGCGCGACAATTCAGAGGAAGAAAGTAGGCTTCGCCTGACCCTTCTTATTCCGTGAATCGACTTCGCTATTACTCGCAACACGAAAAAGTGCCGGACCGATCGCGACCGAGGTGCTTTCCACCTCGTGGAAAGTTATGCGCGATGTTCGACTACGCGCCGGGAAACGCGATCTCGCGCGATCCACGGACGCGGAACCACTTAAATTTTAATGCTCGCCTTGCAGGAGATTGCGACGCGCATTTCATCTATGTGTTCCCCGTCAGCCGTATCTGCGAATTTTCTCGATAACGAGTCGTACGCCTAAAATTTCGTCCGCCAAATTGAGACAATTAACGATAACGAATCCCGTAATGTAACATTTTTTCCAACAGACTGCGAAATGTCGAACGTTGCGATCTCGATTTTCCATATTCAATCTCTATCGGCGAACTATGAATTTAATTGAGTATTGAGAGAAAGCACATAAGATTTTCCAAGAGAATGCCACATTACTATTTCTTAATCGAGTATTTTTCAATCTCTCTTTTCTTTGCTTGATTTAGCTGCGGAATAAAAGATCGCAATAATGTGAGCATGATTTTAAAAGTTTAGAAAGAGGAGACGTAAAAGTTCCATTTTTTTTCGAGAATGGCGATTCTTCGAATGTCACTAGATAATTAATAAATCAAAGCGCGAGCTTCTGGTAGATGCAGATATTGCCGCGAAAAGTCGGAAAGGCTGTTCCGTCGCTCCGTAAGCCGCTTAATTGCGAAGGCTGCGAGAATTCTCGAGATAATGGTAAGAATGATAACTGGTAAAAGAGGAGGGCGTAAACCAATATTCGAGAAACCGACCGTATAACCAACATACTTCTCCCTTCCGGGATTTCGTATTGTTAGCGCGGCTGTTATTGGCGTCAGCCACGACTTTTGAGCAACGGCGAATAATTAACGTGGCCCTCGCGAAATTCGTGTAATAAGTAGGCTCATTGTTACTCGTGCGCGAAGCGGTGAAGCAATAAGATGAATATCATGAGCGAGTCTGGGATCCGCGTTTTCTTCGTGAATTTAAAAAAAAAATACATAATATCCAGTGTTATTGACGTATTCGATGGGCGCCGAAATATACACGCTGTCAACAATATAAAATAAGAATTTAATAGAATATAAACACACGTATGTGCCTTATGAAAGTCTTCTAAATCTAGGATTTGTAACGTTTTTTTTTTTTCTTAGATGTACACTTTCATATTAGAAAAATCTAATTTATGCGTTTCATTTATGAAAGAGAGTAATAATAACAATGTAATCGCGCTTCAACCGCAAATGATGGCTACTTTATAATCATTAGCGAGAAATTCGATTCTTGAATAATGATATGATAGTTAAGGAGCATCTACTACGATCTCATCTTGCGGTCCAGAGGACGGATGCGGCAGGGGTGAGAAAGATTGCATAGCGCGAGATGCGAAAAGGGGGACACGACTGTGTGTTATGACATAATTGCTTAAGAAACTTCGGTATGCGAACGTACACACATACACATGAGGTGGAAGTAGTCCATGCCGTTACGTACGTTTCGCAAACCTTGTCCATGGCGTGCTATAATCGCCTTTTCTTGCTCCCTTTTGCGCGCAGGAGATATAATTGCATCGTGCCCCACGGACAGGAACGTCGGCATTTCGTCCTCTACATTTTTATGCTGCCAGTGACCTTCCCCTACTTCTCGAGCGCACTCGAACGGTTCTTAACCTTTTCCGAGCCAGCGAAATTTCATTTGTGAATCAAAGACCCGACACGTATAATAAAAATAAGAAACATATGAAAATATTTTTCTCTCCATAAAAAGAGCTATATAACATCAATTTAATGATTTCAGAATGAGTTTACGACAATCATCGACGACGTCAGAAACATATAAAATGAAAAGAGAATATTTCTTTCTTTTATACGTTTTGTGAAGAAATATTATTTAGAAATTGGCTTTCTCTCCTCGAAGTTTTTTTATTTCCAGTATTTGCAATTAGTTTTACGTCAATTTTTCATTGACCGCGTTATAATAAGGCTTCAAGGCTCTGCTCGATATTTTATAATTTTCATAACTTTCCTTTTCCTCTCCCCTTGGTTACCATTAGCATCGTTTAAGATTTACACAACTATAGATAGATATCGCGGAAGATGTATGAATTATCTCTTTGCGAAGAAATCATCCGCGTCAAACTGATACATAATGCGAGAACATTTTTATTTCGGCTTACGTTAATTGACAGCAGAATTAATGGCGTAGCAGCCTTTCTCACGACTTTCATCTACTCACATCCGGTATCTAATATCCTTCAGTCTAGTTTTATGGAGCAATACGGAATGAATACGCACGATTATCCGGTAAAACGCGTTCATTTTCGTTTCCGGTTTCGGGACGACCGGTTCGTCGATCGTGGCCCGCGTGAAACGGGGTTTACGAAGAAAAAGGTAAAACCGGCCGCGAGCTATATTCCACGGACCGTTGCTCCTCGTAAACGGGCCCCGCCGTTTCGTGCGAAAAAGTGCAAAATAAATAAACCTCTCTCGATTTACAGAGTTACGATGTGTCGTCCTGTTCCGGCGCAAATTCACGAGAATGATATCTGTCGCGATTCTACAAACGTTATAAATTTGTCGATTATTCCGTTTGAACACATCGCTTTTTTCGGTCAGCTGAGTGCAGTGGAGTCAATTTTGGATTACGTTTTACCAGCTGGAAAAAAAAACCGCGCCGCGATATTTCGAGCGCTTAAAAATAAAATCCGACTATTTAGATCGGCATCGAAACAATTTAGAATAAATATTTACGTCGCTCATTTAACGGAACTGCTTCAATTATTCATTCCAGAACCTGTTTCTCATTTCATCGACGTAAGTTGAATAGTCGGTCGAGAATAATAAATTCTTCACATAATTAAGAGAAATTTAAAGAAAAGAAAAAATGGAAATTGTATCTACTCTATCAGACATTGCAACTAAGTAAATCTTAAAAAGAAATCTGTTATTCTAAACTAGATGCAATGAAGAGAGAATTGTACTTGAAATTATGTTACAATAAAAAAGCAACGAGACATACAACATATAACACAGAAAATAATTGCACTAATTACATGAAAACAGACAAAAACATAAAATGAGAAAGAAGTAGCCAACTATATCATTTGTATAAATTATCACAATTTAAACAGGCACATTTTAATTGTAAATGAGATATTACAGTTGCAAATAGTGGAAAACAGAAATGCACACGTTATAGGATATATCAGGTCTCGAGTTAACTGTTGCGAATATCCGAGAGAAGCGTGTCACTTTGAAGTAAAAGCTGGACGTCCAGCGTCGATGGACTACAACAGACAAATCGACACCTACTCGCGCATTGAACATTCTCATACAGGTTTTCCGGCTTTCTGGTGAAACTCTCAGGGTCAAGTTCGATCGCGTTCTTCTTGCACGAGCGTTCCTCTTCGCGAAAGAATCGAACGAGACCGTGTCGCTCCATTTCGCTCGCGGGCAAGATGCGCGACCGCACGATTTTCTTGTTTCTTCCATTCATCCTCCATGCAGGAGATATTACTATCGTCGCTCGATTAATTTCTCTCGTGATTTAAGCAAAAGTTACAAAACTTTCAATCTCCCTGTTTTATCGAGAAATTTTAAGACGTTCTATCGACATACACAACTTTCGGATTACCGATGTATCCGCGAGAAGATGTAAAATCGTCGCTTGTTTCACTGACTTATTTTCGCGATCTATAAGCGAAATTGGTCTCGCGCGAAAACAACGAAGATATTTAACAAGCGTGCGATTACAAGCGCGGGGCGTGTGTAGTCATGATGTTAATTAATTACGCACTCGTCTAAGCGAGACGAACGTCACGCATGTGGACGCAGAGTCTATTTCACCATTGCTCTTTTTTTTTATTTCGCGAACGCCTTCTAAGTGGACCAAAGAAATCGTTTATCGGTGATGGAAGTGGGTTACGAGCGCGCCGGCTTAGCAAGATGCGCGATTAATTAACCGAAAAAAGCGCGTAATGGCACGTGCGACATGCGTATGGCGCCGCGAGATTTCGCGTCGTTCACGAATGATCGTTCGATATTTTATCTCGTATCGACGAAGCGCCGAACGACGCAATGCGTATCGTGAAATAATTTATTGCAAAACAATTCCAAGCGGATTATCTCCGCATTCATCTCAATTTTGTTCTCTCGGTGGTTGCGGAATAAAATTTCGGCAAATAAAATAAAAACACGTCACGCCAAATTGTAAATCCATTTTATATTATATTGAATGTAGAAATTACATTCTCACGCGTGTTTCCAATCGTTAATTATATGATGTCTGAAAATATTCAAACAGCTAAAGGTAATTTTTTATTACACATCGCGAGATATGTATTGTATATGTTGGAATAATAAATATATGTATGCTTTAATAAGAAAAAAGATTTTGTGCTACGATAAATATCCTTCTTATAGAAATTGTAATAGGAACATTACTTACCTCTTGCGATTATATCGCTTACTAAGTAATAAGTAAAAGTGGCATCAAGAGATTATTTATGCAATAATAACAAACATTATTTACTACAACGTTGCAATTAATGTTTTTAATAGATCTCGGTGACACTTTATTCTTGTTCTATAATAATCAGTTTCTTCCTTACTCTCAGTAGTGCCGCGCTACGATGATCATGACGTCGACTGTAATAATCATAATAACAATAATGAGGACAATAATCATGAGCCGTTGATTGTAAAGTGGCGTCGGCTTAATTTAATTTCGTTTAAGATCCACGAGAGAGAATAATAAGAATATCTTTTATGTATTCACTTTCTTGCGTAACGCATTTAGGTCCCATTCGATCACGATGGCTGATCTACGAGTCATTTTCTTCGCGAGCCATTTTACAATCGCGCGCTCGTATATGTAACGTTATCAATAATCGTACAATTATATAATGTATATGTGAACAGAACTGTAACTATGAAGGATCCCCCCCCCCCTCTCCCTCACCTCCACATTGTAGTCCGCGTTAAACCGTTTTCGAGTTGAAAGTTGCGTCTCGACACGTGGATACATTAATCACAATATAATTCAAGTAAAAATTAAATTAAATTATACGATCACGAAAAAATACTTTGAACATATTTTTTCCCGCCAAGAACAGCTAAAGCAGAATTGCGGCTGGAATTATTTCAATTATTTCCCACTGACCGAAAACTCACACGCAACATCGGCGATCGTATAATCGATTCGCTTTTCCCAACAATTCGTGTTTCCGCCCACAGCAAAAATTTCCCGTTAGTCTCCCTTGTAACGTAACTCTGTGTGTCCTGAGAATAGATATTGGATTTCGCGCTGTCAGCAATCTGATACTGAACGTTTTCGAAATAACGATCGAGAAACGCAACTTTGAACTCAATGACGGGAAATATACAACGAGATCAGGGGTTCTCCGCGGTGGATATTCAGGACTTCATTCCTTCGCACATTTAACGCTAGACGCATTATCCCTAAGGCCCGCCTATAATCCTAAAGATGCGTTGATAGAGACACGAGCGACAATAATCCGAACGATTTTCCGGTGCCAAGACAATTTTGTAACATTGTACAGAAATGCGATAATTACATCATTATCAGCTATGAATTCTAATGAATTTAATAAAATTTTGAAATAAGATAACTGTGCGAATAAATTAGAAGCTCCAACGAATTTTTCCTATGTTAATGAAAAAAGAGAACTCCAGACTATAATAAATAATAAATAAAGATAAGTCATATAATAAATGAAAGCGTATATATAAGCTTGTGTTAAGGAATATATGTAAATTGGAAAGCAATGGTTTGAAAAGAGAAAATTAAAAAATTAAAATTTTTTTATAAAAGGGAAGGAAATAAATATAAAAAATATAAAAAGAGAGAAGTAGTTTTGCAAAATTTGCATAAATAAATGTAAAATAATTTTGAAGAGGTAAAATAAAAAGTCTGCTACACGCATCTTTACCTAATCATATCTTTCCCATCGGTATCATTCTCCGCACACCGTTCACTTCGATTTTCAACGTCATGCTTACATTAAGTTTGCTCTATTTTTCTCCGCTGTCTGAAAATTCATATTTCAGTATACAATAATACATCTCTCTTATAATATAGAATAATTAAAATATTCTTCTATATAACTCGTTACAATATACTATATACTATGTAATAATAATAATAATAATAATAATAATAATAATAATAACCGTAGACTAACAATTTTACTGATGATGGTACTCATTTTCGAGACATCGGCAGGTCGTCCGAGACAGGATCGACGTTTTTATTAACATCTCGCTACGATAAACTATGCGAAATTCAAATGCAAAACGTTCCACGAGAACTTGCAATCATTCATACGATGAGAGATACGAACGACTCGATAAATAAACATACGTTTTGCGATTTCTATTATAGATTCTATATTATTTATATATATCTCTATATATTCGCGTGTATATATATATATATATACTCATATATATATTTTTTTCTGTTTGCATTTGTTTTTTCTTCTTGCACACGCTCTGAAAATCTCCGTATTAATATATAATATTTATAAGGACTAGTTATATACGGTAGATTTAGTTTAACTATGTGTACTCAACAAGCCAGTCTAGCTTTGCGACGCGTCACCCGTCGTGACTTGACGAACGTCAGAGCATAAAGAAAAAACGCTTGAACACTCGGAATGATCCGCCATCCGTTGGTATTGGCAAACGTCTCGCGTTTAAATTACGCTACGGCGCGAGATCGCGCGAGAATGATCTCGATGCGGGGATGATCTCGCACTTATCGCTAATTGTAAGTGATCTCGCTCGACGTTCGACGCGACCGCTCCCCGCGTTTGTCAGGCTATAAAGGGGAGAGCTATGCGCTCCTCTCATTATTTCTTTTATTAGCTCTATAAATTTTTTAGGCGGTATTCTCTATCTTATCGGCGATAAATACACGATATACCGATGTACGAGTCGTCAACGATATCTGCGCGCGAGTTACGTCGAAGTTAAAACGCGAACGTCCTATCGCGTTTAAGACATAAGAAATCACGCGGATAGAGTTATCCTAATATATATTTTATGTCACTATGTATCATATCTCATTCCGTCTCTATTACTCTATAAGTTAAGCTACATGTTACAAAATCGTTATCTATCTACCGATTTTATTAAACGGACGTGGCCGACCGGTGTATCTTATTCTACGCGAATTCCTTGGATAAATGGGAAAATATTTTTAACAAGGATATATATATATATATATATATATATATATTATATATATATACTTGAAGTTTCCTCAACACGCGCGTATATTTTTTGACGTAGCTCGTACACCGTATTCTCTCGTACTTGTCTTATCAATATTGAAAAAAATACGGTATGCGACAATATGTAACGTCAGCCATGACAATGGGAACAGCCGTGACGCGAGCGAAAGCGATAATTAAGGCGAGAAACGCCGATCTTCGCGGACGAGACTAGAGTCTTATCTTAAAAAAAAAAAGAAAAGAAACATTTTACGGATATATCCGAAAAAACGCGCGCTATAATCGCATCTATTATTTGCTTGCCTTAAGTATATAAGTTGTAGTACGAAACATACAAGCGAGTTCGGTTTTGTATGAAGATACAAGGGGAGCGACGTCGTATCTCTTCCAAGTGAAGAGAATAGATCTGAACGATATTTTTCTTGATATACAAACTCGCCGAGATTATTATCGATTTACGCCTGTCCTACGAGATATTCTCCTCGTTATTATCGGTGATAACGTGTTTACTTCGCACTATATAATTATAACATATAATTATAGTGTGTATATGTATATGTATATAAGACGATAAGATGTTGTATATCGGAGCTATTACTTGCACGAGCATGAGCATCGGCAGACGGAATCGTTTACACGAATTCGATCAATTCGCGGTATTTTAATCGGCTATCTGTCAATCGCGCGCGACAACGATTGATTCCCTTTGAGTTGGCCACAAAGTTTTCCGCCGGCTCGAAATGATGCACATGCGTTATGAATCGTCGCGCTTTATCGTGCTTTATCTGAGCTCTCGTTCTATTTTTCACTTCTCGTGTTGCACGCGAGTTCGAACGGCAAGATCGATTGGCGACGCTGGCGTGTAACTAATAGAGCGAAACGCGCGATTCTGCACGAGGCTCTCGTAACAAAGGTACTTATGGTTATTAAGACATATTTTTTACCTATATATCACACTAGAATCCACGGTGTCTGTAGATGCTTCTTCGTACGTCGGGACACGCGTTAAGAGTTCCGCCCGCAGAACCCTGAAAGATGATTTCACTCGCTTTATTAACGCTATTATAAACATCGTTCATACGTTCTTGACTCGATTCTTCGAATCAGAGATTGCGTTTACAAAAAAAAAAAAATCAATACATTATACCATTTAACTATCGATGTTTAATTATCGAGAAAATTAGGCGTTAATCTTACCTGTCATTGTTTGGCGGATTTATACCTAGCTAGTTTCAGCTGCAACGGATTGGATATCTTCAGATGAAAGGCGATATCGTCGAAGGAAACTTCGCGCACGTCCAATCCGCTGATTGTTATAAGGTGATCGCCCTTGCAGATCTTGCCAGTTTCGATAGCCTGACCGCCTGGCATCTGGCATCAGAGACAGGAGTCGATGTTAGAACGCAACCAGCCGTGATAATGTCGCTTGTACAATGATAGAATTGGGAAAACGAGACGACTCTTACCAGCTCCGTCACGTAAGCTCCTTTGCCGCTCCTAAACGCGGCGAAACAGATGCCCGCACCTCTACCGCTC